TTAAATGAATGCAAATTTTAAGATACTTATTTATGGATTTATCAATGATTAATGAGTGAGGAAAGTATGTGATGAAGGACAACAGAGGATGTGATGACAACCCCTAAAGATGATGTTCGAGCCTTCCTTGTTAACCTATGAATTGGAGTTTAGTAGGACTCAAGTATGGTAGATCATTAATCATTCAAATACCATCAAACTAATTTCAACCTCAACTGTACTATATCATTAAGAAAAATTTAATTGTGTAATTGAATTAAATTGCAACATGAACTTCTCTTATGAAACTACTAACTAGTAAATTTCTAAGGAAAACACAAGTTGATTCAACCACATATCAATGCATAACCATATATTGTAACACTTTAATTTATGACTACCGATGGAGCCAAAACATGTCAAATGAAACCACATTGTATGGCATTAAGCTTAGGAAACCATACTTTGAAAATTCATATTCTCGGGTTACTATTACCTTGGTAACACTAAAATTTTTGCCAACTTTGAAAATTCATAACTAATTCTAAAAAAATCAAAATGAGGTTGCTCCAAGTTCTATCTAAAGTTCTTTTATTCCTTTATATAGAAAAATGTTCATTGCTCAATTAATTATTCTGTTCAAACTCCATTTTATTTCCAAAAAGTACTATTCATTTGATCTCTTTTTAATTTTCAGCTTTTTAGCATAATTTCAAAAATTCATAACTTTTTGTACAAAACTCCACATTTGGTAATCTACTACGTCATTTGAAGCTTAGGATGTGAACCAAATTTCACAGTCAGATTTCATCATTTGGCCAGAAAAGTTGCAGCCTCAAAATTTGGGTTTTTCAAGCATCTTTATCTCTTTTTATTGCTTTAACTTGAAAAAACTAATTTCCTAACTTCCATTTTCCCACAAACCATTCATACTTGTAACATCTCAATTTACCACCCAAGTTTATGTCAAATGGGAGCAATTGAAACTATTTAATAAGTCATTAAGTTGAAAAAATTTAAATTTTTAAATTTCTTCTCTTGGGTTACTATTCATTATAACCTTAATTTTGATCAAATTTTGAAAAATCATAACTAATTCTAGAAAAATTGAAATGACATGGTTCTAACTCCTACTTGAAACTTTCGACAATATCTTCAAAGGAAGAATACTTCCAGGTGTGAATGCAGCTCATGTGTGCTCAATTTCATTGTCAAAATATACTATTCATTTAGTCAAGTTTTCAATTTTTTAGAATTTATACCTAACTCTGGAAAGACAACTTTTTGTACAAAACTTTAAATTTTATGAATTACCACTCATTTTAAAGATAAAAATGAGATATATTAATATGCCAAATCTCATGACCAAATTCCTTCATTTACTTAAAATTTCATGGCATAAGTTCCAAACATTCTTTCATCCCACCCATAACAACAAAACATCAAACCAGCAGTATTTTTAACATCGAGAAAATCACCATCAATACTAGAGTTACAACCCAAGCCATCCCCTATTTCCTCACCGTATTCATAAAATCCAAAGCCACACACTCTCTTATGCCACATGTTGTTAACCACTTTAAAGCAATAACCCAGCATAGATGCTCATTCAACTTTGGGAAAATAATCTTCAAGAAATCGTACCATGGTGATTCTAAGAACAGGATAAACAGAGCATCATTCCTTATCTGATAGCTCTTTTCGTCCACCAAAGTCCATTGTCCTGGATAGTTGTCATTTGCAGAGACAAATAAACCAGCATTGAAGATTAAAACAAGAATTCTTAGAACTAGCAATGATGATTGATTAAACAGAGATCTAGAAATGCCTCTGGAATGATAGAAACAAATCATCAAAAGGACATTGATGATCGGCCACAATCGTGTTCCGGGATTCCAATTATACTTGTCCTTTGAGCTCTCAATCACAATCATTAAACTACGCATCCTCAAAATTTTTACGATTTGTTCTGCGGTTTCTGCAAGAGAGCGATCTTTACCTACCTGAATGCTACCATGGTTGTCCACATCGTGCTCCAAATTTGCCAACTCACAACGAAGATGCTCATCACTTATCCCCAATTTGTTCACTATCACCTCAGTACACTCTGTTTTCCTTCCTTTCTTCAACATCTCTAGAGCCTTCTCATCTGCAAATAGATTTGGCGAATATGGAGAGAGACGATGCACAACAGCACTCACACACACGCCTAACTCACACCCACAGCCGAACATCCTTCCCAAGCAGTGGCCAGAGAAAGTGCCAGAAACTAAACTTTCACGGAGAGAAACAAACTCTCACAAGGAAACCATAGGAGAGAATCGAAGCCCCCAAAAAGGGGGGAAAGGGTATCATTTAGTAGAATTCAAATGTACTTAAATTTATCAATTTACCAATTAATTTTCACAATTTTCCATTGACATAATTGAACCTAATTAGGATACTTTAGCACAATTCAAGTGCTCAAAAGCTTAAAATTAAACACAGAAAACTATTTTAAGTATAGATATATCAATTCTAAACTTTGTGTTTCACTTGGTCACTCAAATAATTCATGTTTCTCCACCGAAATTTCAATTGTCGATTAGTTTGTCAAACTACTCGATCAATTAGCTAGCTTTTAGGGGCATTTTGAATGAATTTAGATATTTGGGGATTAACCAATCATTGAGGCTGTGTTTGAACTAGAAAACAGCCACTAAACTCAAACATATGCTTTATAAGAAGGCCTAAACATATACTTGGTCTTCTTGTTTTGGTTGATAAGAAGGACTAAAAATAGTAGTGAGAACTAGAGTATGGCAGAGAAAAATGTTTTCTGGTGGAGGTTTGGTGGATAAGAAAGGCCTAAAAATATGCTTGATCTTATCATCGGAGTTTTGGAAGTTCTGGTTAGTCCAACGATTATCAAATTCCAAAGGTGTCGAAGTTGTTGGAGATGCCATGAATCTTTGGAAGGACAAAAGTTTTAGACAATTTGGCTTCCTTGAAAAGATTTAGGATTCTTTGTCTATATGGATGAAAATATTATAACTACCTTTAGTTGAATTTGGCTTTGCAAAAGGAATATCCATCCTACGCACCAAATACAGGAATCTAAACTTTCCATAACAAACATGCCTTGTACCTAAATTTCTTCACCTGATTTCAAGGGACAAATTTTTTCAAAAAAGAAAAACAAAATTGAATTTGTGGATCCCATTTCATCCCTTTCATTCTTACTTCACTATCCCTCCAGCTAAAAGCTATTAATCACTATTGTATTTAGGGTAGTGTCATGTTATTGGAGCGATCACCAAAGTGCTAAATCCATGAACACTTATGGATGGACTCAGAATTTTCAATGAATTCTGCTGGTAAAGATTGGTGCTCTTGGGGCCCACCTAATACTTTAACCAGAAATAAAACATGGAAAAGTTTAATCAAAAGTCATACTATTATCCAATGGTAGATAGTTTTGAGGATTGCACAGCAGATGAGCACTACGAAATTAAGCTTCAACTTCAATAAACATGTCTGAAACATGTTTTTGATATATCTCAAAAGATAAAGCCAGTTTGACTTTACCCTGTAATGGGTTTTCTAGGTAACAATTTCGTTCACGTGTTCTCATATGAGGCCATTTTTATTTGCCCAGAAAAGCCTGTGGGTTTAAAGCAAGATTTTACACTGAGGAAATCTCCATCATTATAAAATGTAGATCTGCTTTGAAATAGCTTCATGTAGATAAAGCATAAAGCATACCCACCACTTCGTTCTCCTTTTTCACAGCCACAAACGAAAGCAATTCCTTGCATATGATTATGGTGAAGAATATGTAATAAGTTAGCTCTTCAAAATCGTCTAATTCAAAAAATGAGTGGACAATGTTATTCTCAAATCTGAGCAATCTAGATCAAATTTTAATTGCCTCTTAATTGTCCATCTTGCAAAAAGTACTGCTATTTTAACTTCAAAAAATAAAAATTTTGAATTTTGTACCTTACAAATTAATATAAATGTTCCATATCTTTTTTTATTCAAAGGACTTTCTTGCTCATCGTTGAAAATAGTAGAGAGGATCCAGATTCGCCTATAAATTAAATTATGTGATAGAAAGGTAAAGTTGAAAGTTAGTAAATATTGCACATATGGACCATGATCCTTTCAATCATGATTGTAATTATTTCCTGCCCAGATATGTTTCCAAGCAAGATAGTTGTCTCTTCACCATAGCGGCATCTCTTTTCAGAAGATATGTTTCCAAGTGAGATAGTTGTCTCTTCACCATAGCGGCATCTCTTTTCAGAAGACAGTTGAGTCTCCCTGTCTTTTGTTCCCTTCTCAAGTCCCTGAGCTTATAAAGTCTCCTTTCTGTAGTATACCAAGTTGTTAACATACCACTGAGCCATTTTTTATTAACATAATGACACCGAGCTCTTTTAGTAAATATTGCACATATGGACCATGATCCTTTCAATTATGATTGTAATTATTTTCTTGGTTGTACTTTAGTTATCCTACGGACTGAAATTATACATAATATTTTAAGATATTGGTAATTACTAATGTTAGCTTTTGAATATGATTATAACATTCAAAATCCTTTAACCTATAAATTCTTTAATCAGACTAGATAGATCGATGTAGTCTTCTCTTGTATATTAAGGAGAGAATTTTGATGCAGTTTAAGTTTTTTTTTTTTTAATGTTTGTTACCAAATTTTGTAACAGAAATATGACAAACGGACATTAATTACAATGCACTACTAAGTAAAGATAAAAATAATGCAAGTGAGTTATCAAACAAAAAATAATGCAAGTGAAAAACAAATCATACTTATGTCGATGAGAGTGATTATATAGGAACACAAACGCTGGGGAAAAAATATTAAGGGTTATGGCCTAGAATCCTGGAATTGTGGTTTTTTTTTTCTCCAAAGGAAAAGTTTCTCCTTAATTAGGGCTTATCCGTCTCGATTCAAATTAATGATTGAGCATAGAAGAAAGGAGACAAAGGATCGGATTACGTACGAAAACAGCTAATCTTTTTTTCCCCCCTCACCGTTCTTTTTCAGTACAATATGCAACTAAGTCAATACCATACGACATAATATTCCAAGCTCTGATATTTGCAACCCTAACATGATGCTAAGAGATTATCCTAATTAGCCTAAGGATCTATTTAGCTTCTCTAAAAGTATCCTGGTTAGTTGGATACTTAGCTGAAGAGGAGTTTGGAGAATACCAACTTGACCAAAACAGATAGTTAAAGAAATTGATAAAACTTAGTGAAGCAAGAAGCCAATAGAAAAGATCAAGCCTATCCTTGTTAAGATCATTGTCACTAAGCCATCCACCTCCTGAACTTGAAGTAATTTTGTTCACTAGGGACACAAGAAGTGAGCTCAAGTAGAATCCAAATGAGTATGAGCAATAAGTCATGGCTGTCAAAAATGCTTGCATTCCGTCCAATGATTGCTTATAGAAGAACTCAACAAGCCCTACTGCCGTGAACATCTCCGAGAGACCGAAGATTAAGAATTGAGGCGCGATCCAGAAGATCGAAAGGGTTCGTTCTGAAGATAAATTCCTTCTCTTGTACTCTACCATGGCAGCTGATACCATTGAAAATGTCACAATGAAGAGTCCAATGCCAATTCTTTGCAGAGGGGAAATCCCGGAATCTTTTCCGGTGAATTTTCGCGCTATCGGAACGAAAGCAGTTTCATAGAGAGGGACAAACACTATGAGCATAATGTAAGGGATGGATTGAAGTGAAGCTGGTGGCATTTTGAAGCCTTTTGTGATGTGTGTGTCCATGATGCTTCCCTGTTGTACTGAAAATGTTTGAAGTTGAGCCAAGATTGTGTTGAATATGATGGTGCAGGCAAAGATGGGAATGACTGATACAATTATCTTCACTTGCTTCACTTGTGATACTGTGCATAGCTTCCATGGGCTTTCCTTTGCTTCTGTCCCTTCGTGAATTTTGATGCACGCCTTGTCAAGGAATCTGGAGAAAAAAAGAAATTATTATATATATTATTAAATTCATTGAAATTAGGATTAATTGGTTTAATACCAATTCTATAACTAGTATAAATCAATAAAAAAAATTTAAAAAAAATCAAGAGTCAATAAAGTCAATCAAAACACGGACAGAATGTTTTTCTTATTTTCATTTAGGACCTTTTTATATTTGAAAATGAAAAATATTAGTTTACTTGTGAATGAGCCAATATAAATCTTGATTTAATGCTTCCACCGTACCAATTCAATTGTTTTATCAACATATCAAGTGAGTGAACATGGGACTTTTAAGAGAGAGAAGGACACATGAAGAGTAGGTGAGACTCGCAAGTGGCTTGCACACGCTCCGCCTTTTTCTCTTTCTAGTGTCGCTTATTTAATTTTTTGATGGGGTAAATTATATAAAACTTCCCAAAATTTAGAACTATGTGTAAATAATCTCCTTAACATTTTAAACTTAATAAACCCCTAAACTTTATACAAATACTCTATATATATAACCTCAAACTAATCAATTTATACCCTGAAACTTTGCTTTTTATGCATATAATTTCCTCAAACTGAGTTATATGCAGATAAATCCCTTAAAAATTAAGTGATTTGCAGATAATAATGAACAAAACTAAAAGCATGAGAGTTATCATGCATTAGTGTAAAAGTTCAAGGTGTTTATTATAAAGTTTCCAAGATTAGGGAAGTTTATTTACATATGATACAAAGTTCAGGGACCTTTTGTATAATTTAGGCTTTTCATTTTTTTTTAGGATAGCCTTTTTGTTTTTATTTAGAACTGAATATCCTTTTTTTGATTCAATGACGATCCTTCACATGGGAAAACATTTTTTCCTCTCTTTTTCCAAAAGGGAATATTCCTTAGTTAGCTGGAATAATTTGTCCAATTCTATTCTAATCGTCCAAAATATAAAATTATATAAAAAGAAAAATTATGAATCCCATACCTGAACTTTTCAGCATGAAGAAAATTATTGATTTTAGTTGTTGATGCTTCTGATGAGTCATTATTATTAATTGGCTTGTTATTTTGGCTTCCATGAAGCTTCTTGTCTGCACTTGAAGGGCATATTTGCTTTCTCTTTGTTATTGCAGCCACAAAAACCTGATGAGGAGACACAAATAATAATTTTCAATCATGTCTTAATCAGCAAAAAAATATAATTGATTCTGTGGTAATTAAATCTTTAACCTTTTGCCGACCAACAAAGAATTTTCAGTCAGAAAATCTAATAAAGTGTGATGGAAAAGAAAAAAGCTAGCAAAGAGAAAATCAAAAGTATATAAATCAGCAAAAGAGAGTTTGTCTCATTTCCAAAATCAGACTAACTTCAAAGTAAAATTATATAATATATCGCTTTGCATCTGTATCTATCAGCCAAAAAGGAAGCCTTCAAAACAGTGAGATTTTGGGAGCTAAAAATGTAAAACACATAAATAATATTCCTCCGATCCTAAATATAAGACCCATTTTGTAGCGTAATTTACACTACAAAATAGGTCTTATATTTAGAGCCGGAGGAGTATTTTAAAAAAATAAAAAGCTGAGATTGAAAGTTTATTGCCCTTGCTAGTCTTTTCCTCCGCCAGTACTACACAAGGTTAGGCAACATTGCAATGACATCTAAAGTAAGTGCAATAATAACTAAATACAACTTTAATAAAAATAAATAAATATTTTTTAAAATGGGATCAATTATTGAATGTCAACAAAGATGCTAATTTGCATTTAATGATATATATGATTGTTGTTGAACCAAAGTAATTAAGTTTACATATTTCTAATTTATATATCATTGTAAGAAAATATAAAAAAAGAAATAATTCTTCTTGCCTTTTCATGTTTCATTAATTCTTAATAATCAACTTTACCTGGGCAATAGGCGTGAAAATACTTCCCTGAGGAGGCTTGTTGCGATAAGCAAAAGTGCCGGAGATTAAGCAGATCAAGCCGATAGCCATGGCAGCGGCCGAGACGCCGAACCCGAGGTCCATACCCGAATTGGTTTGGACCCAAACGAGAAGAGTGAGAGCAATAAGCTCTCCCATACAGAAGGCAAAATAGGCAATGTTGAAGAAAGTAGAAAGCTTTCTGCTCTGTGAAGGATCTTCCTTCCTGAACTGATCTGCTCCATGAGAGATTATGTTTGGTTTGAGACAGCCACTTCCCAAAGCCATTAAGTAGAGAGCTAGAAAGAATATTGAAGCCTTGTAGCCTTTTGCCTCTTCACACAAGCTTCCATGATCCATCATTCTGCACTTTGGGGGTCTTAGCTTTGGTACATGGGCTTGAATGGCCAGAAGAATGAAACCCTATATTCAGGAAATTAAAAAAAAATTATTATTGCTCAATTTTCTTGAAACAAGTATCTCTCTAGAATTTTTTTGTGGAATTTTTTATTTATAAATTTTATTAGAAAAATAGATAAATTGTAAAAAATACACAAAATGTCATTAAATTACACAAATATTATTATTTTTAAAAGAAAAAATTAATCTATAAGCTCCTATAGTCTACTTGACTTTGATTTAAATCCCTATAAATTTTTTATCAAATCCCCATAGTTTTACTTCATTTTTTATTAAGTCTTACGTTAAAATAAAATCAAACTAGAAGACGTAATAAAAAAAGAAAAAAAAACTACATAAACTTTATTAAAATCAGAGGAAATTATAGAAACCTGCATATTAGTTTTCCATTTTTCAAAATGTACTCAAAATGTTCATTGTAATTAAGGATTGAATCACTTTGTTCGACAAAAAATAAAAAAATAAAAAGATTGAATTACTTCAAACACCTTAATTATTTTTTTCAATTAAGTAGAATCCCTTTTATTTCTGGAAGAGATTTCCCTATATGATAAACAGGATCTTTGTGTAATTTTAATAAAACTTAGGGGTGACTTATAAATTTAGCCGTTATTTCAAAAAGAAATTAACATGTAATATAAACTATAAGCAATATTCAAAAGCCGAACCACTAATGGCTCAGACTCCTTTCAAATACACAAAAGGCCCACCTACTTTAAGTAAATTTCAAGGGAAGTTTTGTATTGGTTTTGAAAATAAGAATCTCTATATATTTTCTACAAAATTTAACGAAAAAATTATATATGTGGACGTCTACTTCCCAGAAAGCATATAACTCTATATTAATTATATATGGGAAAAAAAAAAAGTTTGTTGTTGCCAGAGAAAAAAACACAAGCTAGCTAGTGAGAGAGTACAAACATACACAGAGCTCCACAAAGCCAAAGATAATCATAGTGAAGAAGCTTCCGAGATAAGAATCAGAGAGGAATCCACCCAGAAGAGAAAGAAGGAAGACAGTGCCTATGAAGTTTGTGACAATATTTGCAGATTTTGACAATGGAAAGTGCATCTCATTGAACACATAAGTTATGAGATTGTTCCCAACAGCAGCAATCGCCATCATCTCAAACGCCTGAAGACCTGAACAATAATCATATTCACATGTTTCTTCAGACAACAAAAGAACATAGAAGCGGTCATATCAGAAAGAAAATAAGAGAAAGTGAGAGAAAGTGGGGGAAAACAGACCAAGAACAAATACAGCAGCCCTCATTCCACCATGTTTGTTTGGTTTGCAGAGTCTGCCTCTCCAATCTACGGAAGATTCATCCGCCATAACACCTTCAGAACCTTCAGACATGTTTTTCTCCATATCTAACATTGTACTGTGCCGTCGATCGTTGTCTTTTATGAAGCTGTCTGTTGTAGTTTAACAGAACTCTTTGGGATTTTGTGACAGGTAAAATGAGTAGCGAGCTGGTATTTATAATGATGTCCATACACTATAGAACCATACAATACTATGAGAAGTGGTTATTATTAGTTTGAAGCCTTTACTTTGAGGCTTTGTCACAGGCCGTAAAATAATAGACTATGTTTTGGCATTTCAGGGCCCGTTTTAGGTTTTTTTTTTTTCTTCCAACGTACAACATAATAAATAAAATTAATTCGTACAAGGTAAGTATCTAAAACCAAATCTCTTGCACATGTATTCATACAGATATCTGGTATCCAGTTATTTTTTATTTAAACCGCCTAATTATATAAACTTCACGCTATATATGTTCAGTTTTTCCAGACAAGTAAGGAAGAAAATAAAATGGATACGCTGTACTCAACATATGTGCAGGGGAATCTATTCCATTTATTCATAAAATTCAAGTCTATTCTTGCTCGTTAGATTAACCTTGTAATCCAAGGGCAGACCAACCTAGTTCAATCAAATAACTAAATTGTATTGCTCTAACAATTGGCTTATATCTAGTCAACTTGAATTTGATTTAAACTAATACCTAATTTTATAATGTTTCTTATTTGAGTCATTTTTATTGCGAAAGAAACATATTACTAATCTTCAACATATTTGTTTAAAAATGACAAGTTTAGTCAACAACAACAACAAAGCCTTATCCCATTAGGTGGGGTTGACTACATGAATCACACGATGCTATTGTGCTTTGTCAACAACTCAGTCCTTAGATATGTTGTTGACCAAAAAGTCTTGTTCAATAATCTCATTGAGTGTTCTTCTCGGTCTTCCTCTGTCTCTTTTTATGGAATTCCATACTGTCTGATCTACTCTCCTCACTGGGGCCTCCAATGGCTTCTCTGCACATATCCAAACCACCTTAAGCGATGTTCAACCATTTTCTTTTAGATAGGTGCTACATTGACTCTTGCTATGATTTTTCATTTGTCATTTTATCTTTTCTTATATGACCATACATCAATCTTAACATCATTATTTCTGCTACCCTAACTTTGCGCTCTTGTTTTCTCTTTATCGCCCAACAATCACTACCTTATAACATAGCTGGTTGTATAGCAGTCTGATAAAATTTTTCCTTAAGCGTCTCAAGTACCTTCTCTAATAAAATTTTAACAGTCAAAAAAATTAACCATCGAAATCAAATTTTAATAATTGAAATAAAATATTTGTTTTTATTCATCTCCAAAAATATGCAAAGTATCTAGACTTGATCTGGTCAATGTTAAGTTGACAAAGCAGTAGTGGGATGGCCCATCAGCCTCAAAATTTTTGCAAAGCAAGTCAGCTCCCCACAATCACTTGTTATCCATCGCTATAAGAATCTCTCTCTCTCTCTCACAGATATCTTTTCCCACCCACCACCATGGATATGCGTGGTTCCCGAAACCATGCACATTTTATTTCTTAAATATATATATATATATATATATATATACACATATATCCTGTAAGCACTACCAGTAAATGAATCATGATGATCATCTTAGTTGGTATGCCATATCTCTCAAAGTGGGTCAACCCCTTTCAAAGAGTGGAGCAAATTTATCCACTATTCTTTATGCTACTATTGGATACTGTGTTAAAAAATTTATTGCCTATCAATAATGATTTGGTTCAACACAAGAAAACTAGATACGCCTTTGAAAGTTATAATGGAAATATATATATATATATATATATTACAAGAGCTAGTTCTATATTTAAACCCAACAATGGTGGAATTTATATCAGTTGACAATATCTGATATAAAATAAATGCCAAAAAAAAAAACGAAAAGAAAAGCAAATCACTATGGCGTGCCATTGAATTTCCCTTTAGGTCAATGCCAATTATGGCTTAGCTCCCCCCCCCCCCCCAAGGGGTTTGTGGTGGAATGTATATAGTATACTAATATACTTACATCTAATAATCATGAACAGTGGCCCATTTAATATGGAAACAAGAATGAGAATGAATTTAATGGAATGTAATGATTATGTTTGGTATTTTATGAAAATGACTTGACGTTTTAATTTATTTGTGTCAGGTTAACATAAATCAAATTAAAAATTATTAAATTATTAAAGTATATTTAATATTTCGTTAAAATATATATTCATATATATATATTATTTTATTCACAAATTAACAAAAGAAGGGCATTTTAGACGTCATGTAATTAAAACATTCCTAGGTCATCAGAGGTTTTCCTTTGATTTGGGGATGTCCATGGTTTCCTTGTTATAGGGATGGAAGGCTCACTTGCTCAAATCACCCCATCAATATTCTTGTTCTTGTTGAAAAGGAATTATCAAAATATTAATATTATTTTCTCCTTTTTTGGTAATTTCTTGGGTTTTGCCTTTTCAATGTAAATTTTAATATTGATATATTGAAGAATTCTTTTTTTCCAAAAAAAAAATAGTTGTAGTGAGAATCAACCACTAAAATATGGTTTGAGAATCGTATTTGCAATGTTTTCTGCGGAGTACACTTTGATGCAGAATAAAAAATAAAAAAAAAAGTGCAAGGATATGTTTGAGCCAACAAGCGACTCAAAGAGAAAGAATGAAAGAAGAATGGTCAAATAATGATCATTTATCTTTTGCATTTTAATAGGATAAATTTCTCAAGCACTAATGATGAAGGCGTCAATGACATTTTGGAAAACAATTTTATTGTAAGAAAAGACTAATAAGGTTGGGAAAAAAAGACTAACAAGACCATGTTTAAATGACACAATATTTTAAAGTTAGCCGCTTAATTACTAAAAAACCTATTTGTGGAAGGGAAACTTTAATTAGTTGAGCCAATAAGCGTTGACTTTTCTGAAAAAACTTTGTTTCAATACATAACCAACCGAATAGTCATTAAACTAACAAGAATGCCAGACTTGATTGAAGAATTTGAAGATGTAATATGTTTGGATGGTGCTAAAAGAGTCATTGTCAATTTCTTCTTATTCTTATTTGCCCAGAATATCCATTTCTTCTTATTCATTTGTGTCTAAAAGAGTGAACCACGCGTAAGCTTCTGACAAGGTCCATATTTAGAGGAGACATTTCAATAAAGTCATACAAATTTATTTTGGGCAATCTTTCCATAAACATGGCTGACACGCTCCTAAAAATCAGACGGGTTGGATTGATTATGTATGAACCAGAAAATCAGATATTGATTTAAGAAGAATTTTTCTTTTAAAAAAAAATCCGTTTTTCATGATTTGAGCTTATTGTGTGTTGTCTTCTAGCTAAGAATAGATGAAGGAAAGCCACGTTCTCTACAACAATTTAGCACTTAGAGAATGCAAATTTCAGTCCACATTTAAGAATTTATCACTTAGATATTGCAATTTAACGGTGGCAATTAGTAGGGACAAGGACATTGGTTTTTATATAGCTCCACTTTGAATTTGAGATTACAACTCCTATCTTTTCATTATGTTAGTTTTTGTCTTAATATAGAAGTTCATATGTTAGATTGCAGCTACGAATCTATATTGTTTTATTTATTTACAGTCAATTGACATTGAATATGTACTTGTTAATTTTGCAAATTAAAGAGGCTCACACCATGGCTAAAGATTTGACGCTGATAAGCTTAATCTCAAATTTGATTACCAAAAAGAATCATGGGAATTTGGGAGGCCTTGTAGCAGAAGAACTGGTTTTGATGTTCAAAAAGAGAGGTTTTAACAAGAAAACTACCCTATAGGAGTGTTAGACCCAATGCTTTGATTATAATAAAATAAGAGAAGAATTTGTTTCGTAGGGAACTTAATTAATCTTAATTACTAATGAAATGTTTTTAGAAAGTTATTATGTTTAAATATTTTTCAAAAAGCTATTTAATTTGTTCATAAGTTTTTAAATATTTTTACTAATGTTGAGTATTCAACTAGCATAAGTTCAAAGTATGAACCAAGTTAAAAAGGCCCCATTCTTTATATGATTTTTTTTATTTGACTTGATTTCACAGAAAGTATACTAAAAGTCATTTGTAACTTTTTGCCTATCCGAGTTCACTTCAAAGTTTTTCTTTTATATTTGAGTATTCGATTCAAACGTATTCAAAATAAATATCAAGTCAAAAGTGACTCTGATTCTATTCGAGTCAAATTAAACTTTTCACTTGGTATCTTCCTTGTTTGATTCCAATAGACTGAAGATATATTTCAAATTATTTGTTGCCCTCTTTCTATCTGAGTTCTATACTAAAACAATTATTTTATCAAATTTAGAAATGATCTTATAAATATTTTAATATGAGTTTCTTATCCAAAAAATTTTTAGGAATATATTGTATAGCACTCTTTACAGGGAATCAAAGAAAGATCAAAGATCTAATGAAAAGACTAAGAGAAAAAACCCTGCTAGAAAAAGGGTAATTAACGTCGGTCAAAGAAGACTTTTAACAGCAGTTAAATGAGGGCCGCGTGTAGGGGTGACATAGTTTTGATGATTTCTCACAACAGTTATTAGACGACGTGGATTGTTATATTCTACAATAATTGACACAAATAACTGTCATAGAAAGTTCCTTCTCTATGTTAGTTAAGTTTAACAACTGTCATGGATTCTCTCTTAACACGTTGATGTGATTTTCTATCATGGTTGTGCATATAATGGACGCAGAAAATTTTTTATATATTATATATTATGTTATTTAAGCTCCCTCCACTTGCAGATCATTACAGCTGGAAATTATACCAGACCAACAATCATATATATCCACCAAGCCAAAACCAATAATATAACCAATTAAAACTTATTAAAAACTAAAGTTCTAAAAGAATAACTTAGCGGAAAATCCTAAAAGTCCACTTATTAAAAACTAAAGTTCTAAAAGAATAACTTAGTGGAAAATCCT